AACCAACTACGCTACCCCGTGGCCCCGTATAAGAGGTAGACCGTACAGAATGTTGATGTATGAACTTTATTTTAGAATTTGAAGTCGAAAAACAATCTAGTAGGACTAATTCTTGTGCTTAACGATAAGCAGAAAGTGATGTCATATATTGATTTTGAGTGAAGTGTAGCCTATTGGGCATACGGTCTGAAATTACATCTTCTCGGGCAATCAGTCGTGTATAAGTATAAGTCACTCTTCACATCAACTACTGATGATGGAAGCAAAGACACTACCTGAAACATTGGATACCAACTCCATTTTCGCAAGGCTGATCGTCCAAGAAAGGATTCCAGAGTTATACGTATTTATCCATTGCTCTGACACGAACATTTCTTATTGGAAAAAGAGTCAGGCAACTTCAGATGCTTGTAGTTCTCCAACAAGATGGCGCATCAGTCCATTTTTGTGCCACCGTATGCACTACTCTCGACAAACGATTTCCTGGTGCACGGATCGGCAGGGAAGGGCCGACGAATGTGGATGTGCTCTGTTGGGTGAACTTCGTTTCAATGTCTGCAGAGCCTTCAGTGGTGCTCACACTGAATTGCAGTAAACAATATTAAAACCTGGAGAGATTGTCTACTGCTTGTTAACAGGAAATGTTATGTTAAAGCGATGGATAAATAATGTGGCAAATAGACCCGTTGCTGGGCAGAGACCCCGAAACGGACGAGTACAGCCGTTGCTATGCAATAGGCGGATAAACAAACACAAGTTTCCAAGTAATGGTCGGTAAACACGTTCTCGCGGAAATGATATTTAATCTATTACTAAGCAACCGCCCATGACACAGTAGAATTGTTGGAGGCGGTGTCGAACACCTCCACCGTGTCCCTGCGAGTCGTAGGAGGCGACGAAAAGGGAAGTCTCAAATCTGATACAGTAAAATATGGTTGCGAGTCCCAAGGGACTCGGACCCGAGAAAGACTGCACTGGCAAGGCCCAGCAGCACATACTAAAGACAGACCCGACCTCTCGTCAGAGAGGGCGTCCCACAAAAACAAGACCGTAACTGTCAAACAGTAATAAATATCTGGTCATTAGCCCCAGATGGGGCTCGACACTAAGACTTACTGACTGACTGACCGTCAGTCGCAATGTGACTTTGACTCTGAGCTGCAGTTACATTTGTCAGCAGTTCAGTTGAGTGAAGCGACGTGAAGTAGCCGGTTGGCGAGCGAGAGAGTTCAGTTGTGAGTCAGCCTGTGAAGAGAAGACTAGGAGGTTGGCGTGAAATAGTCGCCAGCCTGTGGGCTAACCAGAGAACTGCAGTTCGATCGTTGTGAGCCGCTGCTGTAAAAGCTGGTAGCTGAGGCACAGGAATATTTCTGGAACCCAGAGTAAGGGGAACGTCCACCGTTAAAACCCGTCACCAGGCAACGGCTAATGGAGATTCTAATAGACTGAGGACACTAGTCTGTGTGACAGTGATCTGTAAAGTGCAGTCACGAGTTGTGTAAGTGGTCAATAAACCGAGTCACCAATCCAACCCCAGTCTATAGTCACAATCAATATGTGTATTTGATTGTAATAATGTTATCAATGCGGAATGAATTACTCCGGCCTACCAAGTGCAAATACATTCTTATGTCATATCAACAATAAATTTTTGTTAAGCTCTTTAATACTAAGCAGGTATTCATTTTACTCGTATATTAACTTATTATTTTAAAAACAAATTTATAAGATAAATAATAAGGCCTCTTATCTTCGAAAACGCATATTACACATTGAAATCAAAATTATGATTATGGTTTCCATGAGAAAAAAAAACACAGGATCGCAAGTGGGAAAATGTAAGCAAAGCGTAAAATTCTGGAGCGTTCAACCTCTTTTATTCAGCTGTCTCTAAAATCAAAGACTTACGAGGAACGAAAAAAAAAAGGCTTAGTGAGCATGAAATATATTTAACTTCATGCTACAATTTTTTCCTTGGACAAATTTTTTCGCTCTTATATACATTCAACGAATTATACAACGGAATAAATATCTCAACGTAAAGCATTCATTACCTTCCAATTTCAACAAAATTGTACTTTTTTAACAAACTTTAGTAAAACTCCTTGATATCAAATTTCATGAAAATCATTTAACCAATTCTCCAGTTTTTACATCTGACTGACATATCAATACCAATATGAGGATTTTTTTTTATTTTCGTTGCAAACGCGTCAAATAAGACAAACAGATATTTTTTATAATTTTTAGTTCAGAATACTTTGTAAATTTCTATGTCAACGTCATGGATACTGTTTAGAAAATGTTCATGTACTTACCGCCACGAAAATTGGTTCCGTAATCTCGAACCGAACGTGTGATGATACTCCAGAGCCAAGGGTAAAGCGTGCACCCTGCGCGCGAGTCGGGCGCAAACTGAAGAGATCGCACCACGATTCAACTTCGATCTTCCCCTACTCCCCTAACCCCTTCGCCCACCAATCAAACACTCCCAACTTACTACACAGTCACGGGACTACGAGGGAGTTTCTCTTTAAACTAAAGATTTACCCGCTGAAACTGATACTGAAATATGTGCGCTACGTTATCTACCGCCTTTCTTACATAAATCATGAAAAGCAGCTACAGCCCATTTATTAACCCTATTCCCGTTTTCTTTCGGATAGTAGTACGCGCGTCTTTTCATCTACTGTCTAAAAACGCACAAATTAAAATACACACAATTATTTTGTGTAGTTCTATACTGGTGTGAAACGTGGTCTGTGACATTAAGGGAGGAACACAGACTAATAGTATTTGCGGACAGAAGGGCCGCGCCATAGCTCAAGCGGTTAGTCGCTGGCTTCCCATCGCGGTGGCCCGGATTCGATCCCGAGTCTGGTCACGTGGGATTTGTGGTGGACCTAAGTGGCGCTGGGGCAGATTTTCCCCGAGCACTTCGGTTTCCCCTACCAATCTTCATTCCACCAATTGCTTCACAATCACCCTCACCTATCATCTGGGGCTGGTACAATAGGCCAGAAGTGGCGGCAGTACAAGGGACTTAGTCCCTTAATTTTCAGACAGGGTGTTGAGGGGAATATTTTGACGGAAGAGCGATGAAATAATACGTAATTGGAGGAAACTGCACAAAAAGGAGCTTCAGAACTTCTTCACTTCGCCAAAGAGTGATCAAGTCAAGTAGGATGAGATAGGCGGGGAACGTAGCATGAATATAGAAGAGGAATGTATATAGTGTTGATGAGAAAGCGAGAAGGAAAGAAACCACTAGGAGGACCTAGACATACGTGGGGGGATATTAACAACATGGGCTTGTATGGATTGGATTAATTCGGCTCGGGATAGGATCTTGTGAACACTGCAATGAACTTTCGAGTGGCATAAAACATCGAATAATGTTGATTAGATGTGGGTGTAAAGAACTGGCGGCATGTAGCATCGAATGGAGAAGAATGGCGAGCAATCCTGAGGAAGGCCAGGGCTCACAAAGGGCTGTCGTGCCAGTGATGATGATGATGATGATGATTGGATGAGAGACTCACGGCTTCTCAGAAAGGACTCAGTTCCATGAGTTAGTACCTAAGGTCAAGAAATTCGGTTGCCACGCCGCCAGCGGCGACAGAGGAATTTTGGCTGAGACCAATTCGTTTCTTGGCCTTCAAAACATGGCTTTTGAAGAACTGGGGATCTCAGCCGGTCATATGACGCGCAGAGGAAACGGGGAACAACAGCCAAACAAGTTTAAAATTTAGCATCCCCACTATCTTACGACAAAAGAAAAATGAGGAAATAAAAAGACAGTTTGTCGTGACGTAGATTATTGTCTATGACGGTGTTAATTTCTTTTGATCAGTTGAATCTCGTTTCTTCCTCCGCGTTGCCTTACACTTCCACCATAAAGTATCAGAAAATACGTTCATCTGAAACGTCGGCGAACTTCTACCGGACTGCATGGCGTCACATTACAGAAGACAGTATTCTTCGGATGAGGTTTGCCGGAAGTGACCGAACGAGATTACCAGAACTCCTAAATCCAAGTGGGAAATCAGACGCCAAACTTTCTTCTTCGGCGGCCACCTGCTACTATTACTCGACACACGCACGCGCACACACACACACTACGTTGGGTTGACATGAACAATAAATTGCGTGCGAGATATTTCTGCGTCCAGTTTAGTTAAACTGGGCAATTTATCACACAAAACAGTATATTTGTGCCCGTCAACATAACAATTCAGGTAGAATAACAAAAGTAATTATTTTAATGTTTATCACGTGCTTCGACCCCTATTGCCAACTTTAGCGGATAGAGGATGTCGCGTGGTCAGTGTAACTAATCTCCACGGCCGTTAATTTCTGTTTTCTAGACCGGATCCGCTATTTCCTTCAAATAGCTCCTCAGTTATCCTCACGAGGCTGAGTGGACCCGGTACCAAACCCCGCTACTTCTCAGAAATTTTGGTAGCGCCGAGAATTGAGCCCGAGACCTCTGGATCTGTAGCCAGGAACTCTGACCACTAGACCACAGAACTTCGCTGACAAGCCGCGGTCGCTGCGTCGGTATATTTCGCTTACGGACTAAAACCACGGAGTTTGTTCAACCCCTATTGGGATAACATCAGATGTATCTATGTACTTAGATGCTGAATTTTTGTTCAATATGGATATATATTTTGTTTTCATATATGACCATATGATTATGTTATTAATGCTTAGTAGTGAAGCTCTGATGTTCATTCTTCGGCTTTAAACCGTACTGGTAATAAATTTAGCTTAAAATTAAAATAATTTTAATAGTACACCGTAGTGTGTATGAGTTCGTATTAAATTACGTATTTATAAATAATTCAAGATGGTTGTGAATGCCTATTTGGTCATTTATGACACGTTTAGTGCACAGAGGCACGGAAGAGAATGGACAAAATTTAACTGCATTATTCTTAGCACTATACAGGAAACAGACTTTGAGCAAAAAAAGTGATAGGTACATACACACTCACCAGCTGGGGCAATGGATTTTATGCTTCGAGTACTCTTGACGAAACATCCACTATATCCTGTCTGATATACGGCACTCACAGCGTACAGATATTTCGTTCTTTCACGGTGCAGTGATCAATTTCATTACGTAGGTCCGAGTGGTATAATTAAGTTAGGATCCGTATTGGTAACTACATAAAACCGAACTTCAGTGAGGAGTTTCGAGACCGAAGAGGTGAGACTGGTTTATATTGGATATAAAGGTAAAGTTATTCCTGTGCTCAGCTAATTAAACACTACGCCATGAAGACATCAGGATGTATAGATCCATGTACTCTTGACCTCGATAATGGTAGAGGTAAGTGGTTAGCTTCACAACGTGGTCGCTTTATCCTCGGGGAAAGAGCCCCCAGTACCAACTGGAGAGGTGGCTGGGTGGGCCCCGGACCTAGTTTGGATGATGTGACGAGAAAAATCTCTTGCCCGTTCCGGGAATCGAACCCCAGTCCAGCCCGTAGACAGTTCCTATACGTCTAGGTTAACGTTGGGTATGGAAACCGCAAAGGAAGTTCTACCCACAGCACTACACTTTCCGCCAGATAACGCTGGTAATATTTTGACCAGGTGAACGAGTAACTTATAAACGACTCTCCTCAATGAGGTTCGGTAGTAACTATAATAACTGAAATATGGTCACCATCTTGTAAAGCTGTTTGCACAAATGAAATTTAGTATCATTGTTAACAGGCTAAAACTGTTAAAAATCTTCACACTTTCAGAACACTAAGCAACTGCACTACATTACGCACGCAATGCATAGTTTCAGCATTCACACTGTTAAAAAATTAAGAGCAATTGTAGCAAATAACGGGAAATATTAACTTTAATATAAGAGCAAGAAACGTTTCTAACACAACCTTCGTTCTCACTGCTGCACGGACTTCAAGATATCTGACACTTCGGCCATTACTACTACCCAATTCTCCCTCCATGCCGCTATCGATATTACTCGCGACAATCCTTGGAACGAGTTAAGAACGATACATTCACACTTTATAGTGACATCGTTGCGATTACTACTACCCAACTCTCCCACCATGCCGCTATCGATATTACTCGCGATAATTCTTGGAACGAGTAAAGGCAGATACATTCACGCTATACTGACATCGTTACATACGTCGCGGTAACTAAGGTTATGAATGTGAAGTCAAGAAATGGTCGTTGTGCTCGATAAACGTCCATGCCTTGAGTGGGACTCGAACCCACGATCCCACTGTCCAAGCGGGCAAAGACAATACATGCCTCAGACCGCATGGCCAGTGATTGGCATAATTACAATAGCATGAACAATGAAGTCAAAATTTAGAAAAAGAATCCAGTTCACTACAGTAACTCAGCAGCACAATGCTGCAAACTTCTCTTTGTCGTCCAATGTACTCTGTAACCAATTTTAATGCCTAAAATTGCCGGAGTCTAATTTAAGACATATAATAAAATACAGACTTCTTTCGATATTAATTTCACCCGCACCAACCACTGGAAACTGCCACCATATGTGAATACTGAACAGAAACTTGAGTTTAATTCTTCACATATGCACCAAATTTATAAATGTGGAAAATGCTTAAACAGAACTAGGCACCCAAAGTCTGAAATCAGATTTGGTGGTTATTAGTTTCAATTACACTGTAATAACATTAAGATCTATACCATTGTTGTGAACAACTATATCAGTTTTATTATGTTACTTTAACATACTGCCACATCTGCCATTCTTCTTCTTTTCATGGATTTGCCCCTCTGGCCTGTCCCTATTCAGAATTAACTACTCACCCTACTGACTATTAAAATAAACAATTATTCAATACCAAATAACTTACCAAATCCAAACTGGATTCACACAAGTTCAATATTATAAATGAGTAGAATATTAAATTTTACACCTGAAATTCAAATCTATTCCTCAAGGAATAGCATTTTTGTCTTAACCAATGTGAACATTCTCATATTTTGAATAACACATCAGTACAGTACTTCCTGAAATCTCCTTTAAAACATTTTCTTCTGTGTACTTTCCTTATTCTGAAAGACTGAAAGGAGGCTTATCAGATCACCTTACTTAGGACCCTGCAAACATTGTTAGGCACCGGTTTGGTAACACATTCCTGCTGAAAGAAATACACAAACAGCTGCATGAGGTGTTTTCTATGTAGTACAAGTTGTACTGAATTTGTACTCAATTTGGTACGAAAGAAAAGTAGGTGATTAGTTCTTCCCAGAAAATCTCATTTCCACTATTAATTATACATTTATTATATGTATTTCAAATAATGTATAGTAGGTGATTATAATGTTCTGTATGGGTGTGAAATTTGGGAGGAACATAAGACTGAGTGTGTTTGAGAACAGGGTGTTGAGGAGTATATTTGGATCGAAGAGGGATGAAGTGACAGGAGGTTGGAGTAAACCGCATAATGAGGAGCTTCATAACTTGTACTCTGCTCCAAGTATAATTAGAATGATCAAGTCAAAGAGGTTGAGGTGGGCAAGGCATGTAGCACGAATAGTTGAGAAGGGGAATGCATATAGGATATTGGTGGGAAAGCCAGTTGGAAAGAGACAACTGGGAAGACCAAGGCACAGGTGGGTGAACAATATTAAAATGGATCTTACAGAGATTAGATGGGATGGATTGATTTGGCTCAGGATAGAGACCAGTGGAGGGCTCTTGTGAACACAGTATTGAACTTTTGGGTTCCATAAAATTCTGTGAAATTCTTGAGTAGCTGCAGATTTGGCTTCTCCTCAAGAAGGGCTCAGCTCCCTAAGTAAGTAAGTAAGGTTGTTATGATTAAAAATGAAGATATTATGGGACAGAATGTAATTTGCATACAATGAAGGTTACCTATAGAACTAAGAAATGAGACATCAAGACCCTCTCCTACATTCCTTGTATTTACACAAAGAAATGAAGTCAATGTGGTGTAATTACATACTCATACAGTTCAACAAGGAAGTCACCTTATTGTCCATGAGTAGTACAAAGCTATTTCATGGACCACTAATCTTCAGTAATATTTTACTTTGAATTAGCTCATAAATATACTGAACAGATGTAATACAAATTTTTTGTTACTGTTTCTGTGTAAATATGTACAAATAAAAAACAAAACAAAAAAGAACATTAATTAATATTAATGGCTAATATAAAAAATGCCTCGTCTAAATAAGAGATGTTGCACTAATCAGCTCCAATTCATGATGAACATAGCTGTCATGCTTCCCAACTTCCCTGTGAAGTAGGTTATATTTCAAAATAAAAGTGTCTGCGGGTTTTTTCATGACTTGATACAATTTAGTATTATAATAATGGAAGCCAAGGCACCAATTACATGTTGCCTCCACTTGAGCAAATTGTAACACTTATTCCAGACTGACCTCACAGCTTGTATCTTCCATTTACAAACACTTCAATGTCTGTAACACAGCCAGTACTCAAAATGCATTGTAAAAATTTAACCCTCTGCATTACACATCATTTGTATTCAGAGCCATTTTAACCTTTACTGGCTAGATTTAAATCTCCCATTGTGGTGCTGGTGGCTTGTTTTTATCTAGGAATAATGGGATTTATATAGTAAGAAATTGGGTGCACCAATGATAAAATATGATGCATTCTGAACATCACAAGTCCTTAACAAACACTATCAATAAAATGTAAAATTATATATCAAGAAAAATTAAGGTTTCCACTGTAAAACTAAAAAGTGGTTTAAAGTGGCATGATGAACTGCATGGGCATAAATCAATTTTCACTACAAAAATTGACACCTTGTTTATTTCCAATAAATTTCTTTGTCAAAAATAATTATGTGAAAAGCATCCATGTTTGTTGATTACCATTATACAGTGCGTACAATCAAGTGCGCGCCGCAGCTGCAATTTGCCGTGAGTCATACCACCGCAGAACGGATGCAGTCGCGGGGAGGAGTTGGAACACTCCCCGCGACTGCATGCGTTCTGCGGTGGTATGACTCACGGCAAATTGCAGCCGCGGCGCGCACTTGATTGTACGCACTGTATTAACTAAAACCACTATAGCTCATCCTGTATAGTGACTATGCTGCAGGCTAGATGACCAAGGAATCTGGGTTCAATTCCAGGCAGGGATAAATTCTTCTCTTTTCTACAGCATCCAGATTGACTCTGGGGCCCACCCAGCCTCCAACCCAATAGGTATTGAGACTTCTTTCCCCATGGAGGTATAGCGCCCAGTGTGAATGTGAATGTCCACCTAGTGCTGAAATAAGCATGTGTAGATTTGTACCTCCTCTCACTCATAAATCTTCATGGTGCAGTACTAATTAAGCACAAAGAGAGCTTTACTTTTAAATTATGCCTGAGCCACCCTAAAAATTTATCTTCCCTGTATTTTGTGTGAAGGATAGAATCTGAGATTCTATAAGCTGAAAATAAGCTTATAATAATTTACTTAAAGTTACGTTGTGCTAACTCATGAAGACGCTCAATCAGATGTACAAGCTTCATAGTTCAACATGTTTCATCCTTTCAGATGTTAAATTACTGATACCACTTAACTATAATAATTGAAGGAAGCACGTTCAGCCAGTATTTTTCAGCACTGAACATGAACAATGAAAATATTATCCTTTTACTATAAATATATTTTTGTCCACTGCTTTTGGAAATTTATGTCACCTCTTTCGAAGCATAACGGCCATCCAGTAATAATTAAAAAAATTCAGTGATCGCGTTTTCAGTTATTAATATTCAAGACTGTTATATTGTGGGTTGTGACACTGTTTAATGTAGGTAGATACTAATGTTTTGAAGCAACATGCTGCCTCCATCTTCAGGGTGAACTCTGATCATTACGCGATCATTTTGACATTGAATATGAAGGCAGACTGTTTCGCTGAAACACTGATACCCACCTATATAACCCATAAAGCAACAATTTTTAGCCTACTTTCCTTAATGTTATGTTTTAGCGTCCTGTTGCACTGATTTATGTCCATGATTTATTCTGTCTTACAGTGCATACATTTATTCACCTTACTCTTCTCTCTTGCACTACGTTTTCCTTATTTTGAAAAAAAAAAAACAATAAAGGTGGCTTATGAGACAACATTGCTCTGTCTGTCTGTCCATATGTGTATCCCCCCTAACAACTTTTGAATGCCTGAACCAATCTTTATGAAACTTGGTTACTTATATCACATCACTTGAGTCCATCTGAAAAGCATACTTCATAGATCGCTCCCATTGGTAATATCAACAATACAGAATCTCAAATTGCTAGACAGCCTTAAGGAGGGAGCAATGTGACATGACACCTGAAAGCTGGAATGGTGGAGACAAAGAGACAAATATTCCTAGGCAACAGTTTGGTAAACATGTTCCTATGGCAACAAATATGGACATGCAGTCCATGCCAAGACCAGCCCTCAGTCTGTAGTCAAACTACAGCAGATGATTAGTTTTTTCCAGAACTTTTACGAGGGTTGAAACTTTAACAGTGGCAACACTTCTGTAGAGATGCCATGCAACAGAACCAAATAGTGTTGCTTATACCACACGTTAGTTACATACCTACCTTACCTCAGAGCAAATGGACTCTCCCTTCCCACATCATGCGCATGCGCAGTGACGAGAAGAAAAGAGCCTCGTGTTAGCTGGCGGTCTAATATAGTGTTGTCATGATGTTTTCGAAACAGGAACAACGGAGTTGGATAAAGATTGAATGTGCCAGAAGCCGTACAGCACAACAGTGTCATCAAGGTCTTCAACAGGCTTGCGGGGAAGCTAAGAACAGTGGATGGTGGGTAAATGCCTTCAAAGAGGGACGCCAAAATGCGGCAGACATGCATCGGCCAGATCGTCCTAGTGTCAGTGAAGAAGATCTGGAGAGTGATAGACGCCATACGATTCGTGAGCTGGCCCGAGTGACAGGATTAGCACATACAACTGCTTCACATTCTGAAGGAACACCTCAGCATGAGAAAAATTGCAACATGATGGGTTCCACATGATTTGACAGAAATGCAGAAATGGCAGGCTGTGGCTGATTTGTTCAATCGATGGGGCTGGGAAGTGCTGTACCATCCACCATACTCCCCGGACTTAAGCCCTTGTGACTTCGACTTGATTCCTAAGATGAAGGAACCACTTCGTAGCATTCGCTTCAGAACCTTTTCAGAGATTCTTCAGGCAGTAGACGGCTCCATTTGAACTATCAACATAACAGGCAGTGGTAAAGGTATCCTATGACTTCCACATCGCTGGCAACAGGTTGTACACAATGCTGGTGACTACATTGAAGGACAGTAAAACTGTGAAACATGAATCTATTTTGTATCCGTTGTAAATAAATAGTTGCCACTATTAAAGTTCCAATCCTCATAATAATAGTTGATGAGCCAAATGAAAATCTTTGAACAATCTACATCCTTCATCTAGCTGAATAATTTCTTAAGGTATAGAGTCACAGTTCTAACAGGCCTGACACATTATGCAACAGACACTGGGAGACAGCTGTGAGCACAGTCAGTAACAAGACTTCAAGGAGACCACTTGTTAAGGCTCACAAGGAAACAAAGCAGCATATATATATTTTTTCCATCTCCTTCTCACCTTCACTGCATTGTTAAGAAAATTAACAGACATAACTTCATAGACTCATAACATACTTATACACATCTAAAGAAGACATCACTGTAAACCCAACACCTGAAAAATATTATAATTGCAATAATAAAAACCACTACTTCATTAATAAAAAAATCACATTACAAAGTACTTCTCTGTAAACAAGTTAATATAACATAATAAAATTCATAGAGTTAATTATTTTTGTTTTATAGATCAGAAATAAACTTACACTTGCATCTGAGTGACAGCCACTGTTTCGGTTTGCTGCATGCAAAATAATGCTGATTCAATGAGCTCCTGCCACTTTCACAGAACAATAATCACTGTAATACACGGCTACAGCAAATGTAATACATATGTGAGATCTGAGGTTTTCGTGGCGGATGACTACTAAGATTACTGTCATTGATGTGACACCATGTAGTTAAAAAGTATTCTTCTACCATGAAATTTCAGTAAACATCTACCAGACTGCATGGTGTCACATTCCAGAAAAAGAGTGATCTTCAAATGTAATACATGACTCAAACAATAACAATAGCATTATGTGCTTCTTGACGGCGCAATAAGAGACGTACGACAGCCGAAGTGGCACGAAGCTGCGAATCAAGCATTCTATGTGAGACGATCACTATGAAATCATGACAGTACACTTACAGTATATAAAGTTGAAATGTAGATGAAGGAACAATTTATACCATTATTGCTGCTATCTGATGAACCAGCGTGATCGTTCATTATCTAGAAACCGACATCATGATAAAAATGGCAGTCAACAACAAAAATATTCTTGGCATGGGATGGCAAGACTGAGTTTAATATATCCTGCCAAGAACATAGTCAAGACTGTTTGATCTGCTTTATTCTAATGTAGAAGGGGAAGGAGGGGCAAGACTTTCTTTACTAATTTGTTTCTAATGTTATAATTCTAGAGATAGCATATGTGAAAGGCACTAATATTACAGTGTGATTGTCGTGATGAGTTGTACATACATTGCTTGTACACATACTGCACTTCATGGTGATAAAGAGTATTGATATACTGTTTGTGCATTACTTACATCTATTACATGAGCGTTATCTACTTTTCATTGCAGAGATATAAACATATGATATATATCATTAACATATCAAAAGGCACCTATACTGGATGGAGCATTGTATCCAATAAAAGCAAATTTGCTTTCACTTTGAGCAGCATTACAATATCCCCACATTACTCTTATATGAAGAAGTTCACTTTATGTAAAGATATATTTTAAGTGATAATGCATGTCATTACTGTTGAGCTGATGAATCCCCTGCTCTTGCAAATTCATATTTAATTTAGATGATGGAGAATAAACAATAAAACATCCAAACTGCACTGCACTGCATTTACAGGTATTTCAAAAAGACAGATATTAGGCAATTCTCTGAGATGCAGTGTTATGTAATCTGACAAGAGTTTACCAAACAATGTGATGATGTCACATGACAGAAGACATAACCTCCAGAAATTAAGCAAAATTAGAGTTAAGTTCAGTATTAGAATACATAAAACACATGTTTATGAACAGATATTATCCCTAAAATTACACAACGGGCAATTTATTAGGCACAGAAGATCAAACATGGGTGTTCTACAAGTGTTGTTTGATGCCTATATTCATTAATCAAATCTACATACCAAAATCATGATAAAATACTTATGAAGCAGGACTATGATCATGCATGTCCTACTGCAATACATATATTATTCACTTTCAATAACATACACATTCAGCAAAGATGAATTCCGTCAGGAAGTTTCTACAGAAGTGAACAAACGACTCAAGCAATTGTCAGATGAGATCTTGATACCAGTTGACAAGAAAATTATGACAGCAAAATTAATGAATTCCATCTGAAGTTTATCATCTTACTGCAGAAATATCTTTGTACTATGGTCCAATTTTCTCTTTTTAGTTAAGCCATCAAACATTATTTTTTCACCATTTAAACAATACAATTTTCAATCACTAGTCTAGTCTGGATGGCTGAGGGGTCAGTGTTTGAGTCCTGGTACAGGAAAGATTTCTCTCCACAGCATCCAGACCACTTCTGGGGTCCACCCAGCCTCCTATCCAGTGGATACCTGGCGCGCTCTTTCCTCGAGGGGTAAAGCAGCTGTGAAGTGAAGCTGACCACTCACTTCCAACTAGTGCCGAGGTCAAGAATACATGGATCTATACATCCACTCCCCATATATCTTCATGGTGTACTGCTTAATTAGTTAAGCATAGGGACTTCACCATTACTTGGTCGTATGGCATATGTATGACTATTTCAAACAGTATCAGCAGCTGTTTAAACTCATCATACATTAAAGGTAAAGCTGTCCACGTGTATTATCCATCGCAATAAAAAAGGAAATTCAATAGGCCTATAAAAATGTTATGCATCATTGTCAGATTTGTGATTTCTTACAGTTGTGAATGTTCAGATTACAGCCTCCTGGGATGTGAGTCAGTGTATTCTTGTACAAATGTTTCAGACAGGTTAGAAGAATATTCTTCTACCCTGATGATGGAGACAGCAGGTCCCTTCCAAAATTTAAAAACTCATGTTAAATCTTTTAAATTAACCACAGAAACAACCAAATAATTTATATTAATAAGTGTCAAATTTCCTTATGAAAATAGGCTTCAATTCAGTATTATTTAATTTCCAATTGGTTACTTAGGAACTAACATGAGCCAATAAGAAAATGAGTAAAAGCAGTTGAGCAGAGCAGTTCAAGTTTGGACACAATAAAATGACACATATCTGCAAGAGCATGGATTTATGCAAACAGACCTAATTCTATAAACAACTGAACGCAAACAACAGAATTGCTCCATTATCTATATGGAGCAGAGTGTGCATTCAAGTTATCTAGCATAACATTTATATCATTTACAAAAGAAAAACTGAACCATTAGCTTGACATATGAAGTCATATTAAACATTTAAAAATGTTTAACTCTGCATTACGTTACATATCACACATGACCGCTGGTACTTATCCAAATGGCTTGAAATATTTCCTGTGACATAAAAGTTACCAACATTCATACACAGTATGAGTTCAAAATCAACCACAGGCATGGAATAAAAGATTAATGGACAAATAATCGGCATATAACCTACCTTATAGGAGAACTTAAAGAGATAAAACTGTATCTTTTCCACACAGAACAATCTGAACACTCTTTTTACGGTGTGTAACAAATTTTATAAATATTAACAGTATATCACTAATATGACATACTGATTTCACTTCAACATTCTTCAGGAGAAGCACATATAAAGCGTTTCTGGGACTGAATTAAATACTTTCTGCATACGTATGAATTTACTTAGCAACAAACACCAAAGTGAAGATAATTTCACTTGTGTTTCATTTTATTTTCTGTCCATACCTGTACTTGTAGACAGGAACTGAAAATGCAATATATCTTACTCTTTAAGGTGTATATAATAACATAAATTCGTTATATATTTCAACAGCAATATATAATGTAATTCTCTTTCCTCGCAACTTTAATTTCTGCAGGTGCAGCTCAAGGTAAGTAAATTGTGAACAGAATATTTACAGAATTTCCAGCAAAAATTTCAAACCATGTGAATACTGTTCTTATTTACAGCGAACTTTACTTTCAATATAATTAACAACACAAAAAACTGTCAAATTAGCTCAACTCTCCTTCAATGAAGATACAGAATTCCAACTGTTATAATATTATAGGTCCTAATGAAGATAACTTGTACTTTAAATGCTCACATTAAGCAAGGTGGCAAGAAGAATCAAAACATAATTAAAAGGTAACAATTTTAAGGTTATAAAAAATTCATTTCGCAGATTTTTTTTCAATTTCATACTGAAATCTTGTGACAGCAAATTTAACCCCAATATGAAAAATAACAATTCCTTCATGGAAGGGGAATCCAAATAACAGTTGGTATTGAAATCTCTTAATGTAATTACAATTTCTTAAAAGTTTAAAACACCAAATATAATCAGTAATGTAGTTAACATTAAAACACATGTAGCATTCAACAGAGAGGATAAGGCTATGTTTAGGAAAGTCTTGACTTCAATACTCTGGTACAAACTCCATCTTTAAATTGTAAGTTGATGTGTAACTTAAAGCCTACAGAATAACAATTTTCATGTTTTCATTTCAATTAATCAACAGAGTCTAAATGACAAAACACAAAATCAAATAAAAATTATTCCAATATAGTCACTATTATCTTGTTACATAAATATGATGAAATTTCAATCACTTCATTAACAATAACATTTCAACCAGACTTAAAGTACTGTAACTGCATACAGATGTACAGGACAGAATATGTCACTTTTACAGCTGCACTACATAAAAAGAATAAATGTTACACAAGAGCTAAAACACGTTTGCATAACTACATGTTATAAACAATGTGTGTACAATATCTAAAAATTTATAAACTAAGTGTAAAAATATCTTATTCTCCAGATGTTGATGATGATATAAAGACTCTTTTCTACTTTCATGTGTAACTTTCAAGTGAATAAGTATTATACAAAAAAGAACTATATAGATATTGCTTAAGAATATGGACGGTCTTGCTTCCAGTTTTAAAAATATTGTAAGGTCATGTTAAGATTAATCCCTCTTTCCTTATTTGGAAAGAATGCTTAGAATCAAACTTCGTAATCCTTCCTTTCCACCCACTGACAGATACGGTCCATAGTCGAAGTTTAATTATTGCTTTAGGTTCAGACTCCAACCTGCTAGGATCAGTTACTTATTTCTCAAAGAGAAGAAAATCTGAGGACTCATTTAAATCCAATCATGAATCTTTGATAGTCAGTTGTTTAAGTATCACCAAGAACATGAATGCATCTTCTATTATTAGGCTTGTACAGAGCAATGCCATATGAATTGCAGGTAGCAAACTCTACACAGAAAGATCTTCCCTGCCTGCTGAAAACTCACTATTGTAAAACACAAACTCTTTTCTTGTAGTGTCCATTTCATTTCTATTAAACCTGTATCAATTTTTAAGCCCCATATAATATGAAGGTATAATAATGCTGTTTTCCAAATGCCTCTTTCAGTGCTTCCAACCATGGCAACACATAACCATAACTGCTCCAATTATGTCAGGAACATAAATTTTACTAGAGCCTGCCCAAATGACAAATATTACCGTAAAAAACTGTTACATTTTCAGTTTTCTACAGTGTAGATGAAGGATAGAAAAGTTACCATTTGTCATACTTAACATCAGCAAAACCAAAAGAATGTATTCATCCAAGTAAATTATAACATGCCTTATAAACTCAGTCATGAATTAAGTTTCATTTATCTGGAGATCAAAATTACAAAATGGGCACTTCCCTAAAATATTGTCATGTGTTGCATATATAATGCAGCAAATAAATTTACGCAGGTCTCGGGTTTGTTGAACGCTCACTTTTACCCTAGTGAGTACAATTATCACTTTTACTGCTTCTGCTATAGTCAAATGCAAACTGAACTGTTATCGGCAACTTCTAGCACTCAATTCAACTGTCTGGTCCCTTTAAAGCTGGACTTTTATAACCAGGTCTCAGACGGTATATAGCACACCATGTGGAAACCTATGGTCTTGGCCACTGTCATGCAACAAACCCTCTGTTATTGCGTTTCCATAGAAGTATTCCTTCCGGATTCCCAGGATGCAACACTGCTCCCTTCTAAAGGTTGTTCGTCCCAAACAGCATAACGGTACTTCTGTTCCTTTCATCTGCACCCTTCTTCAAGGGTGCTCATCCTGAGCTTTTCTTTCACCGAACTCTTCATATACCTTCATGAGATGGCACTAATTACGTATAGGTATGACTGTATACTCTTTCTTATAAAGTCATACCTGCACATAATTAGTGCCATGTCTTGTACACGTATGAAGAGCTAAGTGATACATTGAATTTCAAAATTTCATCTAAATACTTGACGTATGAATAAAACAATACCTATAAAAGTATGATGTAAAAAATAACAATTTCTTTAAACTTCGTGGTAACCAATACATTTCACGAGAATTAAAGATTTATCAGTAAAGCTTGTGTTCCTGAACGTCTGATTTCAACTTTATCATCCATAACTCTACATCTCCAGGTTCTACAGGGCTGACAGCTATATTTTTAATTCAGGAGTAACAGTTCTTCATATGGGAAAAGTTATTTTAAATGTGTCAGTACTTCATAGTCAGTGGCTATATTTTAAACCAGAAGTAATGGTATTACTAAAAAAACAAAATGATTCTGCCCACCTGAACAGAGCATTGACACTGGCGCAACTGTGTGACAGCCAGTAAGGGTCAAAGAGTGAACAAACAGTGACCCAGACCGCAGATCTCAAGACAGGACCACAAAATTTTCATCTCCAGTCTCTGGTTCTGACTCTGCTAACAGATTCATGTTTCATTCCACAAAAACCACTAAACATTCATAACATATTGCCAATAATGATATTGAAGCATTTTTTTTATACCAACTGTTCCAGTTTCCATTAATTGTTAATAAGTCCACAGAAGAATTATAGTTCCATTAATATACTATTATTCTCAGTGATACTTGTTCCATTAGTAAACGTACCCTTACAGTAATGTTATGACATGAAAAAAGGTTCAACCACTATCCATTGTTTATTGTCAATTATATACAGGAACCAAAACCCAATATGACTTCAGTTGTGTGATTCTTAAGGTCCGAACCATGTGCAATCCAACAAACCATGCATCCTACAGTGTGCCCGAAACGACAAAACATTCAAAGTATGCGTCTGAGAAGCAGCAAATGTCAAAAATCATTCACCCTTTGAGGTAAACGATTTGTATGGGTAGCGCATATTTGATGACTTTCTTTGCCTAAAACATCTTTTATGGTATATCATACCTAGGGCAGGGAACCTTATGGAAGAAGAGTCCTGCATATTTTGAATCCCTGTATTTGTCGAAAGTAGACTCCAGTGATTTCATCTCTCCTTTTTATCTCATTACGAGTTCAATTCATAACTAAGGCATATGTATTATGAAACACAACCATTAACAGGTTTAAGAACGCTTCCATCTCTTTTCCCTTCAGAAGCAGCACTCACTAATACAAAAAATCTGCAGGCCATTTCGTGACATATTAGGAAAAATGTGTTGTCATAATGGTACTGTAACCAAGCAGCAGGCAGAGGTATTGGAAACAGCACTCCTACTGCGCAATCTAGAGATCAGGCTACAGTCATCTTGCCTGTGGGCATGGCATTTTACAGCCACGTGAGAACATTGTCGGGTCTGCTATTCGGGTTGATCAGTGACTGCACATCATCGAGAATGTCGCTCGAGAACTCCTCACTGAGCTACAACATTGGAAACTACATTAGGGACAAACAGAGTACATCATAACCTTTCATATAAAGAGAATTACTAAATTAATGTCAAAGATAGAGGAGAAACTATATATGTGGCCTGCATGTTATAGTGAAAGCTGCGTAAAACAAAAGCTGTAATTCTCACAAATATGATCTTATCAAAAGTCTCTGGTCCTGAGAACACAGATTCAAGAACAGTGCAAAATACCCTTTAAAAATTTAAAATATTTAAAGGCAAAAAGAGACACAAAAAACAAGAATATTTAACACAAAATAGTCTGCTTCAATATTGTTTTCTGTTGATATAATTTTGCTCATCACTGTGCTTTCTGGAATTCATATAAGAAGCAATAATCCTGCCAGAGATGGCTAAGAATTAACAATGTTCAATAATATACGAGTACAGTGATATCCTTACTGTGGAACCTGAGCTATGGTTTTTCTTACACTAAATTTGGGTTATGCAATATAACATCAAGCAGCTATGCTGGATCTGAGGTTCACACAGCAGCAACTAAGAAGGCTACAATCTTCTGGGTTGTAATACAGGGCGTTCAGTCATCAAGGAAATCAGGGGATCAGCATGACTCAGATACAATATTTCTCACAGAGTGCTGCTGTAACTACCGATAGCAGAATGAGTCATCGGCACTGATAAACAAAGCACACTCTCGCTAGCGTAGAGTGGATGGATCGTTTCTCTGAGACTACTGTGCCCTTCCCAGCTAGCGAGAGTGCAGTCATGTCGCTGATTCCCTCACATCAGTTTCTGTACATGCACACATTTATAGGAATACCGTAAAAAGATAACACAAACTTACCGTGCTTTATAACAGGTGCTGAAAGTGACCCCCTTCTGCTTGCAAACATGCCTCGCATCACATAAATAAATTATACTAGACTTTCTGAAGTTGGTCCATGGCAATTGAACTAATCACGCTATACAGCAAGTGCCATTACATAGTGAAAAGGTGGGGGTGTGGTGTGCTGTAAGTCTGCGGCGAATCATTGGCCCCTTATTTTTCCACGAAACAGTGAACTCTGACCACTATGTTAATGATGTATTGAATCCCTTTTTCAGTCATCTGACTGCTGAAGAAAGACAATATGGGTACTTTCAGCAAGACAGCGCCACAGCACATATGGCTAATGCACCATGGTCACAATACGGGAAGTGTTTGAAGACAGAATAATCAGCAGGGGACCGTGGCCTCCCAGATCTCAGTTTTTGCGAATTTTTATCTTTGGGGAACCTAAAGGGAAAATTTACAGGAATAATCCTCGCAGCACTGAAGCTCTGCAGAATGAAATAACATGCGTAACTGGTTCACTTAAGGTGGACCAACTTCAGAAAGTGACGCATAATTTATTTATGCGATATGAGGCATGTCTGCAAGCACAAGGGGGTCACTTTCAGCACAGGAAGTTTATCTTTTTATAGTATTCTTATAAATGTGTGCGTGTGCAGGAACTGCAAGGGAATGAGCGACATGACTGCACTCTCGCTAGCAGGGAAGGGCACAGTTGTCGTGGAGAAACGCCCCATCTGCTCTACACTAGCGAGAGTGTGCATGTTTATCAGCACTGATGACTCATTCCGCTATCAGCAGTTACAGTAGCAATCTGTGAGAAATGTTGTACCTCACCCACGCCGCTTCCCCAGTTTCCTCGATGGCTGAATGCACTGTACCATGTAGTTTGATGTTAAGTTCAAAGGTGTTTAGGAAGAACAATCAGTCTCTCCTTTAGGGAAGAAGAATAAGCCAAGTAAGGAGCCTGCATATTGCTGGTTTCTTTCCTGGCTTACTCTTCTACCCTGAAGATGGAGGCACTACCTTCCCGATACCTTGGAAGACTTCTGTCACACTACATGACATTTCAACCCAGAAGATCGTGCTCTACATCAGTAAACTTTACACCTTCTTATTAGACTTACTGTATACAATTATGATAAATCAATTTATTTGCTTAAGTAGCTAAAGAAATTGTTTTCTACACAAATAAGTACAATTATACAACTGGTAATATCGAATTAATTTCTAAAATAATTAATGGCATCTCAAATAAACACTCAACGGAGGTGAGTCTAGAACGAGAGCAGCTACAGGACCACCAGTACAGTGGTTTTTCAGTGTGTGTTCAATGACATCACTCGAAGAAGACTGTGGTTATGCGGCAGTGACTTCCAGCAGTTCTGCGGCAACAGTTTCCAGAAGGGAGAAAATATGAATATCAACTGTTAATTTCACCCGCAATCATATTAAACTGACATGAGTCGTAAAAGACTAAAAATCCTTACACAAAATTCAACTTATTTACTAAATAAAAAATCAGTAAGTAAAGAGAAGGAAAACAATATACTGTTTACATTGGGCCTTGGCTGGGACCAGAAAAGTATTTAATAAATTATGGACTTCACTACATGCAGAAATATAAAAAAAGGATTTTACACTAAAGAGAATGTTTTACTGATCTATCAGTAGGAAAATTTCAAATGTTCGCTCAATTAGTAGCATGGTGGTGCACACGAACATGTAATATAATGTTTGGGCTTTTATGAATGAATACTTAATGTTTATCTTCAGAAAACTTTAAGACTTTGCCTGGTTAGTCCAAAATAAACACATAACACACCTCCTAAAATATGAGCATTTGTTAAGCATCCCTTGCCATTATGATGAGAGTTATATCAGTTGACATGAATGAGAGTTAATATTAAACATGACTCACCTGCAGAGAGGGTACAAGGTCATCTGTCGAATCGATGTTATCGCTGAGGGAACTTATGTCTGGACCATCCAATGCTGCCATGTCTGTAGGGTTGCCACCCTCTACCACAAGAAAATACAAAATGTGAGGTTTTCATGGCAATGATTACTTGGATTTACTGTATTTCTTGTAATGCCCTGGTATATAGCGACTGATGTTTCTACTGTACGTATCCACCACAACATGCAGCATCATATACCAGAAAAAGAGGAGTCTTCAAGGGCCATTAAGATTTACAGTCGTCTGGGATGCGATGCCAGAATGAGAGTGCGACAGGTTCCTCCAGAAAGCTGGTACCTATCAACTAAACTAGAGCATCACTTTGTAAGATTTGAGGCTTTCACGGCGGTGACTATGAAGAAAGCAGTCTTCTGGGATTTGCCACTGTGTATATGTGGTGTTAACCGACGTTTCGGAGGAACGTATCGCCTCCATCTTCAGGGTAGAAGAAAAAATATAAGAAATCTGCAAGCGAAGAGACCGTGAGAACCGGTAAAAGCAGACTGGCCTGCTCTCAAACTAATAATGTGTTTTAGTTTATTTAACAATAATGTGACATGATGCCTAAAGGCCAGAATATGACCTCCTGCTGGGCGGGGCTTTGCTGAGCACATTCCCGTGGCAACACATAACAGACAGTTCCTGGACAACGGTTTGGTAAACATGTATTACTGTGGCAACAGATACACAGGTTAAACAGATTCCTGGTATTCATTTCTGTTAGAGGAGGAGTCAAAAACAGGACCACAGTGCGGCTGGATGGATTAGGTCAATTGAAAAATCCAGTGACCCCATCAGGAATTGAGCCTGCAACCTCCCACCTGAACCAACTATGCTACTGCAAAGAGGTAAAATAATTACAATACATTTGTAATTTTTGGATATGCAAATTTTCTTTTTGTGGCAGTACTGTCACCTCAGTTCGCATTACTGCGACTTCAGACCTACAGGGTTTCAGATCAGTAGGGTTCCACCATGTTTACAAATTTCATATTCTATGGACAAACTGAACAAGAGACTCACCACTCACGCCATCCATGTTGTCATCCATGTTGGCAAGGAAGTCCTCGGGTGTGTGTGGTAGGGAATAACTGTTGCACATGCCCAGTCCACTGTCTGCAGACTCCTGACGGGAATGGTCTGTCAAACCAGAGAGGAATGGATCCATTCCAGCTGAGTTGGGACCTGGTGGTAAATCTGTGGTACTTGGCTGTCGAAGCATCATACCCTGATACAAACAACATTCACACAAACATATCAGAAATATTAAAACAAAAAAAATTACTATTATGTAAGTTTTGACACGACAATAACGGTAGTCTTGCAGGTGGACAGAAACATTTTAGGGCAACATACTGTCTTCACATTCATTTTTGAAAATGCGAGGAGCATGCTTTCCAAAACATTAATATCCACCTACAAAATTATTTAATGGCACAACTGAGAATACCAGAATCTGAAAAATTACTATACTTACTTACTCAGTCATGGAGCTGAGCCCTTCTGGAGGAGCCGCCAATTCTGCAGCTACTCAAGAATTTCACAGCATTTCATGGAACCCGAAGGTTCATTACCGTGTTCACAAGAGCCCTCCACTGGTCCCTATCCTGAGACAGATCAATCCAATCAATATCACCCCATCCTATATCTCTAACATCCATCTTAATATTGTCCACCCACCTACACCTTGGTCTTCCCACTGGTCTTTTTCCTTCTGGCTTCCCCACCAATATCCTATATGCATTCATCTCCCCCATTCGTGCTACATGCCCTGCCCACCTCATCCTCCTTGACTTGATCAATCTAATCATACTTCGAGAAGAGTACAATTTATGAAGCTCCTCATTAAGAAGTTTTCTCCAACCTCCTGTCACTTCATCTCTCTTCAGTCCAAATATTCTCCTCAACACCGTTCTCAAACACCCAGAGTGTATGAAGAAAACTTCATCCTGGGTTTTGGCGCCGTGTATTCTTCGTTTTGGCCGACGTTTCGGAGGAACGTATCGCCTCCATCTTCAAAGCAGGTGAATGGCTTGTGAATGCCGAGAGAGAGAGAGAGAGAGAGACTTTCTTCATAGTCATCGCGGTGAAAACCTCAAAACTTACCCAGAGTCTATGTTCCCCCCTTAATTTCAGAGACCAAGTTTCACACCCATACAGAACCAGTCAAAATTATAGTTCTTTATATTCTAATTTGTATGTTTTTGGACAGCAGACGAGATGACAAAGGGTTCTGGACTGAATGGTAGCAAGCATTACCCGAGTACAATCTCCTCTTATATTGTAAGATTTGAGGCTTTCACGGCGGTGACTATGAAGAAAGCAGTCTTCTGGGATTTGGCACCGTGTATATGTGGTGTTAACCGACGTTTCGGAGGAACGTATCGCCTCCATCTTCAGGGTAGAAGGAAAAATATAAGAAATCCGCAAGCGAAGAGACCGTGAAACCGGTAAAAGCAGACTGGTGTTGGAAATATAGCTGTGTATATTTCCAACACCAGTCTGCTTGTACCGCTTTTCATGGTCTCTTCGTCTGTAGATTTCTTATATTTTTCCTTCTACCCTGAAGATGGAGGCGATACGTTCCTCCGAAACGTCGGTTAACACCACATATACACGGTGCCAAATCCCAGAAGACTGCTTTCTTCCTCTTATATTATTGTATTGTACTGGAAATTCTCCATTTTCCTGAATTATTTTCAAACACAAGCTTTAGAAACTGAACCTGTTTCCATCATTATGTGTAAAGTAGGAAAGGTTCCTAGTCATATGGATCAGATATGTTGCACTTGAAAATAAATTTATGATGAAGGCCAATGTTAGAAAGAAGTTACGGTTATTGTGAGACTGCGTGTATCAAAAGGGGGCACGCTGTAACGTAGTTGGTTGAGAGGCTATGCTACAAGCCGGAAGGTAGCAGGTTCAAGTCCCTATGAGGTCACTGGATTTTTTTCAATTGACCTAATCCTTCCAGCAGCACTATGGCCCTGGGGTTGAACTCAGCCTCTAACAGAAATGAGTACCAGGAATTAATTAAATAATCTTCCTGGGGACTAAAGCGGGGCCGGCATGCAAGTCTGGCAACCTTACCGCAATCTTCGAGCCGACTGTCTTGATAATGTGGGACCCTCAAGGTGTCACAATCCTACAGGCCTTCACAGCCTGATACAAGGATAGCTTTACTTTTTTTTTACTTCACTTACGCGGTGTATCAAAAATGTGATTCCCAACTAGCCGTGAACACATTACCGGAGTGGCAGCTATAGCTGCAACCTCATTTTAATGTCCCATTAAGGTAAAAGGTAAAACTATCCCTGTAATATGCTGTGGAGGCCCAGTGTTGTGAGGCGTCAAGGCTCCTACATTTTCTCTAGACAATCGACTTACAGATGGCAGTGAGGCTGTCAGCCCTACGCACTGGCCACCCTTCTCCCCTAGGAAAATTCCTGGTACTCATTTCTGTTAGAGGTTGAGTCAACCCCAGGACCATAGTGTGGCTGAAATGATTAGGTCAAGTGAGAAATCTAACCACCTCAACAGGAATAGAACTCGCGACCTGCCACCTTGTAGCATAGTTCCTCAACCAACTATGCTACCATGTGCTCCATGTCTTATTAATATGTACAACTTTCAATCAAAACATTTTTCAGTATGATAAATATTTAAACAAATCCAAAGAAATAATGTAATCGGTATTGGATGTGAAGTTCTCACAGCGGTATGGAGGGTTCTATGCAACTGTGTAGTCCAGTGAAAGTCAATTGATACTTCACACGAACATCACCGACTGCATGGTGTTACACCCCAAAAGGCAGAACTCTTCACAGTAATCTGTAGGTTCATTAGTTTCATAGCAATATGATATGAGGTTTTCAAAAAAATTTCAGATTCGTATCATAGTGTTCTGGGTTATGACATCATGTAGAATGTATTAGAAGCACTTCTTACTGCATTAATTAGCTAGCAAACTTCAAACTGATTAAATCGGTGGCAGAGTCTTGACATTTTAGCACTTCATTTGCTGTAGTAATCACATAAACTTTGAACTTTAACCTAAGATTAAGTTTATGACATATTCAATGTCACTAAAACTCAACATAACCACGCTAATGTGGCATACCACAGAGTTACCCATCATTTTTAAATATCAGAATATTCTACAATGTTTACAGTGGTTCTGATAAGGAATATGATTCATCTACACAAATTCCATCTCCAATGATTCAATTCTGAAGATATTTTTAGGTACATCACACCAGAACTTAACTGCCTCAACAGAATCACTCCATCAGAAAACTTAAATTTCTAAGTTGTTCAATTTGAAAATTAATTGTTTATAAAAGCTGGAACACTTCACTGGAAACTTGCTATGTGCTTCATAATTGGAGTTCTACACCTGGCAGAGGACAATTTGTCCTTCCATTAATACACCCTGAAGAGCATATGAAAGAATGAGAGAGAATTTTAAAAGATAAATCAATAACTGAAGGAATAAGATGGTGTGGGCACATTTATGACTGAATGAATGAAGAGAGAATTGCAAAGTTTACGAATATGAAAATAAAGGGAAACATTCAAAAAGAAGAGGTTAAAGAAGTTGTCAAGCAGAAGGAGAATCTTAGTCATAAGCGGACACACACAAAAATGGGATCATTTGAACAAGATTATTCTCATATCCTTAATTACTGTGCAGCCATTCGTGCATCCTATTCATGTGTACTGTTCATGTCAGTTTTCTAATGCTCTCACTGAAGGGCCTCCTAGGAGAGGATAGGAGAGGTGGCTGTTACGATGCTGTGCTCAAGCACTTGTCTGTTCTACATCCAAACCAACACACACTTTGATAATCTGCAGTATTATATAGACACAACAGGCCAAAAATTACAGAACTCAAGGTCAATATTTTCTATCAGGTGAATACCTGCCATGCCATAATGAATTACTTGCCAGATTTCATTTATACAAGAGAGCTGGTAAGTGCTGGGGCCAGGCCGCGCCATAGCTCAAGTGGTTAGTCGCTGGCTTTCCACCTCAGCGGCCCGGGTTAGATCCCGGGTCCAGTCAAGTGGGATTTGTGGTGGACAAAGTGGCACTGGGACAGGTTTTCTCCGAGTACTTCGGTTTCCCCTGCCAATCTTCATTCCACCAACTGCTCCACAATCACCCTCACCTATCATCTGGGGCTGGTACAATAGGCCAGAAGTGGCTGCAGTACAAGGGACTTAGTCCCACTCCACTAGCAATAAGAAAAAAAAAAGTGCTGGGGCCAGAAAAACTGATGCGAACAGTACTGGAGGTACTTTCCTTAGGAGTATGGTGGCTGGAGAATGAAACTGACCATTCATCTTCATGATGTGATAGGTTAAGTATGCATGGAGCTTTATCTCCATGCCCCTTATATACCTCCTTCATGGTGTACTGTATAAGCCATTGGGACAAATTTATCTTTGCCTTGGACAATTTGGGTTTATTCAACTTTGGAAGTTATAGAAAGATTATGTCATGCCAAGAGATTCGTATCAACTTAGTGACTACAAAGTGATTCTAAATGTTAAAATCAAATATGAGATAGGTAGGGCATGTAACATGCATGAGAGAGCTGAAAAATGCATACAAAATTCTACATGGAAACACTAAAAGGGTACCACTGAGAACCTTGGTGTAGTTAGTTAGTTAGTTAGTTATTGGAGCGGGTGGGTTTCCCCATGCACTGAGACCAGTATTGGTCCATTGTGCTTCCCTCTATGATATTCTACCAGTCTCTATACCCTACCGATATTGGTGCGTACCATCAGTCCCGACCGAGCCAGCGAGTTCGGCCTCTACTGGCTTGGCGGTATCTATAATGCTTCCCCCATCTATCAGAGGCGTTAGAGACTACTGTTGGGCGGGAAATGTCCTTGAATTTAGCTCAGTGACCTCCTTTGGAGATATGAGGTTCTTTTACGTGCCATAAAGCTACGACACGGGACCCACGGCTTAAAGTCCCTCCCGGAGGGCTTGTTCCCTGAATTTTTCCGCCCTTAAAAATTCCACGACCTCCGCCAGGTTTGAACCCGCGTACCACGAGTCATGAGGTGGGAACGTTACCTCTAGACTACGGAGGCTGCTAGGACCTTGGTGTATATGGTAAAGATAATATTAAAAAAGACCTTAAATAAACAAACCACATGAGTGTAAACTGCTTTCATCCAGCTCATGGTACAGGCCAATGGCAGGGCTGATGAATACAGAAAATGAACTTTTAGTTTCTATTAAATGTGGGCCACTTCTTGACAATAAGTCACAAACTACCAGTTCAACGAGGCCTCTGATACACACAGTAAATCGGACATGCAAAAATAATAATAAATTGTATTATAACCTGTCTCATGATTTCCTGCTGGCGAAGTTTTAACCGTTCTCGTTCCATCTGTAATGACTGGAGCCTGATCTGTTGGCAAACTTGAGACTGTGCTGACAGAGGCTGAATCCAGCTGGTGCTTTGTTGTGGCAACAAGGAGCCTGCAGGGGACTTTTGGAGGTGCAGAGCTGCAAGCAAGAAATATATCATATAATCTACTGTAACAGACTATTCTTACATATTGCAGTATACTTTACACCAACAACAGCATCCATTCATATTAATACTGGGCTAAAAATGGCTATCTGCACTTGAAAGTGAACACACAACCTTGACTTTATGATGTAATGACTGATTACATAACAGATATATAATGTGGGAGTATTTAATAATTTAATTCAATATTAATTAACTTTTAAACACATACATTACTATGGAAACATCAAAAGCAAACCATATTAAAATTCTATACAGTAATAACAGAGAATATACCTTTCTATGCATCCAAATATTTGATGTTAAACAACAAAAAATGAGAAGGAAAAAAAATAATTTTCTCAGAGAAAAACAGACCATAAACATATATTAGATATATACAGATAACAATACAATAATAAATTACCAATAGAAAGGGCTATACTACTGAGAAAGAATACCTAAAAACTAAATTTTAAAGCTGCCCTAAAAATATGAACCAAAGGGAAGAAGATATCAGGGGCACCAGAAAGAAAGATGGACAGGTTTAATCCTTGTAACTGGAAGGGTCTAATTCATTATGTTACTGTAACATGATGATTATGATGATAAACCACAAATCTCATTTCTCTTATTCAGATTGTTAATTTCTGAACTATGAAACCATGCAGTCATAAAGGCATATAACAATGTTTTGATATAACATACTCCCTCCATCTTCATGATGAGGTTAAGTGACTAACTAGTTATAGAGACAAGTTTCAAATATGGTGGTCACTGGGACCTAAGAGTGGGGTCTGATCTGGACCAACGCAGATGACGAATGGGAAAGCAGCTCTTTTCGGGGATTCAACTATATTTCTCATCACAAGTGGGAAATGGAATCACAAATGTGTGGTCCTGTAATTAAAAATTTCCAGGGCAGTCTGACATACAGTTAAAAGTTGAAAGAAATGGGTATAAATCATGATATGAGGCAGTTCTCAGTGTTACAGACACATTTACACTTCTGAATGCTGAACTCAACAACAAATGGCTCATGAAATGCACACACTTAAATGGGCTAATGCTTCCATCTCTGAAGACGAAAATTAAGGAAGCCATATGAATTTAATTTGCAAGAGAAATCTTGAAAGTTAGATACTTCTCCTGTAAATTAAATCATCAACCAATGCAACAATGCCTTTCAGAGAAGTGCCAGGGTGGTTCCAAACCACGCTGGCTCGACTACAGCCCTGATCAACAGAAAACATGCCCTTTAGAGGGACTCTATTAATCAGTGGCGTTCCTTGCACAAAGCCAAATGTGTTTCACACAGAATGCAGTTGTACTTGAAAATGATAGGTCAGTAGCCAACAGCATTTGTAGGAAACAGTGGTACAGACTATGTTGTCAGAATGGCATCTGTGTTACATATCAGAAGCATGCCAAGAAGTAGCTAGGCAGTGGCTGCATCCACTTTAACTCTAACTAAGACCCTGCTGTAATCTACACACATTCTACAGCCCTTATCTCAGTCACTGGCCACTAAATGCACCCACATTCTGTTGACAGCAACCTGGTCTAAAAACAAGAATGGTAAAATGAAGGAAATATTCAAATTTCCTGTAACAGAAGTGTATAAACAACCACTCAGTCTGCTCACCTTCACACACATAAAGTGTTTTCAACAAGTTACATTACTGTACAACATGTATGCCCAATGGAGAGGGGCCATCTATGAAAATGTCTAGGCAAACCACAGCGTACCGTTTACACTCCTTTACTTCTCAGAACAATATAATCCAAAAGCCTGAATTTGCACCAGCTCCGTATTAATTTGGTGACATAACCAATACTGGCATGAGGACAACGTCCCCAGAACATAAGCCTTCCATTGTAACCGCACAACAATTTCTTCTTCATTTAAAATGTGTATTCAAATAAAGAGTACAATCTTCAGGGGTGTGATGCCATGTAGTCTGGATGAAATTTACCGACGTTTTGGAGCCTACTGCCTCTATCTTCAGGGTCAATGGGTAAGCTATGCAGGCAATAAGGAACAAATAAACTACAAACTGAGCTTGCTGCTTGATTAGCTTCATTTGCGATACTTTACGATATTATACCCGGTTGAGTTCTGTAACTTGGTAAGATAGGAAATAAGGTTCTTTCTTTGACGTCTGAAACATTTTCTGGTCAACTAAATTAAGGTATGAGGACAGATCGGGATGTTTTCATAAATTTATTTCTCTCAAATCATACATAAAGCAGTATACTACACATTCAGGAATGTAATCCACATTAGAGTCACTTTTTCCATATAATCTCCCTGTATATTGAGACATATCCCACTGGTAAACCAGTTTACTGATGCCATCTTGAAAGAACTATGTTTGTGTGGGGTTCCTCTGTAGTTTCCATAACCTTAAAATATACTTTTTCAATCAAGAACCTGCATGACGTCATTTTAAGGGGGCCAAACACGTGGTAGTCACTAACGGCCAGAAGAGGGCTGTGCAATGGATGATGCAGAACCTCCCAACAAAAATTTTGCAAGCAGTTCACTGTTCACAAAAGTAACTTCCTAACCTGCCCCCATATATCCACTTAGTGTTTAGCTTTGTCTGTCATATGGTGGATGAACAAACATTTAAATTGGCACAATAAGCTGTAACCTTTCATTAGGAATCTAGGTAACCTTGAATGTTTTTGTTCACCATGGCAAGGCAGCTAATATGAATATTATAATGGCTTGCTATCCATAATACCAGTGTTTCCAAGCTACCAGGTTAAAACATTGCAATTTTCTAGCATATACTATTGTTTCCTGCACCTTCACTTACGGACATACTAGCTGATTACCTGGGCTGTCAAAGCATATTTCTTACTCAGCAGAATATTCATTCTGGAAGATAAGCAGAACATCTGTGTACTGATACTGGATTAGTAACTGAAATTTTAGGAGCTATATTTTTCTAAATAAAAACGTAAACCTTGTCCTTTTGCAGATTTTTAATAAGTGACTTTTATTTTTAGGAACTTTAATATTAAACATCTGAAAGCTGTAACAGATTAACATAAAAAGTAGGAGATGTGTTTCTATTTCTCTAAACTTCATCAAATGCAAAACAAGAAAGAACTTCAATTCTATAATCATGCCAAATTGGTTGAAATGAGTGCAACTGTGTGGAAAAGTACATAGAACAAACAAACAGACTCACTCTTCTTTACAGATATAAATGTTTAAAAAGAAACAAAATTTCTTTCCACATTCCTTCAAATTTTTCTGCTTCGATTTTAAATATGGATGCTGGGTAAACATCCCTTTTGCTGACGGATACTATAGCAAAAAGGATGATGCCTCAATGCAATGGGATACTGTAAACACGTCCCTTCTACTATGAGAATACCCACCTTCATTCAGGTTTACAGATCTCTGCGTAGTATTTTCAAGATCTGAAGATGGTCATTATAGAAGTCAACCAGACACAACTGTGCAAACAGTGACAAAATCATGTTCACATTGTAAACAAGAAAGAATTAAGAATCGCCAATACAGGATACTTGAGAATATTGCTACTTAGAGCAACAGTAAATATTTATGAATCTGATTTACGAGAAACTGTACTGTTATGCAAGAGACCTTCCCTGTCCTACTCACTCCTGCAACACTTGAATGCGGGCAGAATTAAAATCGAACACCCTGTATAATCAGTGAAACTGTAGTGTGATCATGGGATGTAGCTTGCGTGCCATCCCTGCGGTCATGAGCCGGATAGAATGGTGGACTTTAGGGTCATATCTTTATTATTGCTTGTAGAATGCCTACCCTGTGTTGCTGCTGGGTTTATCACCGTACAAGTACAGTGTAGCAGATATTCTTACAGGGCCAAAAATCCCATTCTCGTGCAGTATGAGGATTTATTCTTGATTCGTAAATTCAAAGATGGTGATCAAAAATTTCAGAGATAATATAGCAACGAAGGCCGGCTCTGTGGTCTAGTGGTCGGAGTTTCTGGCTACAGATCCAGAGGTCCCGTGTTCGATTCCCGTCGCTACCAGATTTTCTGAGAAGTAGTAATTCTGGAACGGGGTCCACTCCCTCGTGAGGATAACTGAGGAGCTACTTGAATAGAAAAGTAGTGGCTCCGGTCTAGAAAACCGAGATTAAAGACAGTGGGAATCCGTTGCGCTTACCACGCGACACCCTCTATGCGTAAAAGTTTGCACTAACTTCGCCGACAAGCGGCGGTCGCTCGGTCGGTATAGTTCGCTTGCGGACTAAAAGCCACTGATTTTATAGTAGCGAACGTGATAGGAAAGTGATTATGAATGATGAATCGGCACTAGCAAGGAAGTGCTGGTGGCCAACTTCAAAGCATAATCCCGACATTTGCCTGGAAGAAAATAAAGTAGACCAATATAATATTGTCAAGTATCGGGGTTGCGTGACTAATAATAATGGGTTTGGATTCGATGATTTCGTTTATTGACACTTCTTTACAATTACAATCACTGACTGTCTACGATTCGCTCCATTCCTTAAATGGACTACGAGTACCTACTCTTCCACTGTAACTAACCACGAATGAATTCCTACTCACACACTGAAGTCTCTTACGATTTACGTCTATGACTGAACTTAATTCACGAATGAACTCTTCTATAACTACGGGAGGACCGAACAGCGGCCACCATCACAAACAGTTAATTGCCATTCTCCCGTTGTCACGAGAATATCTTTGTTAATATTCGTTGCAGCGGGAACGTGTGGTAGCGAGCCGTTGCCTAGCAAATTGACTTCCACTTCTGTTCGTTGTTATTCCGACTTCCAGGCGGTGTTTACCGAGCAGCTGGAACAGATCCGTTAATCAGGAAGTTTTCGAAAAATCAATACAGGTTTTCCCCGATTTACCTGAAAGTTGCGATCCCAACAGCAACCGCGTTCCTCGAAATTTCTGCTCCCCTTTTAGTTTTACTGACTTCAAATTCCATTAAAAATAAACTATTA